CATCCCAAGCAGCACTTTGCATGCAGCCATCCTGCTGAGGAAGCCAGCAGTGAAGCAGGCTTTTCCATGCCAGTTGGCCTCCATGCCCAGAAATGTTCCCAGACACTCTGGATTTACTAGCAGAGATGTAGCCTCAGAAGAAGAGATACAAACAGAGCTGTGGGTTTAGTTTGCTCCCATGGAATTTGGCTCTGGGCTTTGGAAGAAGAGGGTTTTGCTTCTCTGAAAATGCAGTGGGCTCATGAGGAACATAGAGCTGTGGGAAGAGAAGGAAGCAGGGAACAAGGTACACTTCTGTCAGTGCTCTGAGATGAGGCAGTGATATGACAGATCACTTTGGTATTGCTGCACCTGCATTTCTGTTTAATGCCCTAAGGTAGGTATAATTAGTGTTTTCCACACAAGTAAAGGAAAAGTTGCAGTTTCAGTAACCTGGGAAGAAACAAGAGACACTCTGCCCCCTGAATCCCCATTTCTGGCTGGAAATCCTTGCCTTCCTTCAGCACAGCAGGGTGGCTGCAACCCTCCAAACTCCAGGTGCCAAGCTCCAATTGCCCACTAGCTTGGCAAGGGTGAGACAGAGATTCCCTTCAGAGGATCACACAGTTGGCTTGGAAGGGACCTTAAAGATCATCCAGCTCCAACCCCTGCCATGGACAGGGACACGTCCCACTAAACCAGGCTGATCCAAGCCCCATCCAGCCTGGCCTTGAACACTTCCCCACAGTTAACTTGCGGTTTTCTTTTCCCCCTTAAGATGGGATTTGTTGCTGCAATTTCTTCCACTTTCAGGATGGGAAATATTAAAATAAGAGAAAAGCTTTGAAGACTGGTCATTCAGGGGAGTTATGTATCTTTTTCTGGTTTTATTACATTGCTTATATTAAAGTAATGGTATTAGAAATGCTTTTATCAGTAGCAGGACTAATTAATAGGTTGCCAGGAGCAGTTATTCCCCTCTTGAAGAACATTGGAAAATAGTATTTATCTGAACACAATGGTGATAGTCCTGCTAACCTGCTGCTCTACTTAAAAATGTTAAAAGTTCAAAAGCTTAAAAATTTAAATTATGTCCATGTGGCAGCTCAGGAGCCGCCTTTCCACATGGGGTTTTGGGAAAGCCACAGAGCAAATGGCATTCAGTTGGGATAGCAGTGATTTCACTTCATCTTAACAGGAATAAATCTTTGTTTTATCATATAAGTACATATTCCTTTGGAGAGTTCATAGAAAAGCTTTTTCATAGTTTTAGACCTGGAAAATTGAGCTTGTTTTATCTGAACATATCCAATATTGTAAATGAATGAAGGGAAGAAATGAAAAAATAATATTGACATATTATTTCAGTGGTGTATTTTTTTAATCTATCACAGTTTCTCAAAATTAATGTCTGACATTTTAGAAATTGCTTAGCGGGGAAAAAAAGATACACAAAACAGTCTACTTTTTATTAAGGTTATTTTGTAAGGAAACTATTTTCCCACCAGCTGCAGAAATGAATGTCACATTTGATTGCACAACTTGGATTTTCAATTTTCCACTGGTATGGAGAGAACAGCCCCAATTTTCCAAGGATCTATTCACAAACTTGAGTTTCAGGTCCTCAGGATTCTTCCTAGGCTGTGTGAGCATCTGAACCAGGACTTATAGTTTGTTTTAAATTATTTAAATTATTTAAGGTATTAATCTGGGGCTTGTGGTGGTCTTACTTCTGTCCTGATTCAAGTGCTGGCTGCCCTTTCTAGCAAAGAGGGGCAGGAGGAGCTTCAGGGCAATTTCTTTTTTGAAACCCATTGGCTGTCAAGGTGTATGCTCCAGTTTGGGATGTACAAAGGGAAGAAGAAAGCAAGGGAGACAGTCAAAGGTGCAAAATAAATGAAGTTTATTCCATGCTTCCCCAGCTCATTTGTTTGTTTAGTATTTTGATTTATTTGAAAGGAGTTTATTCCACAGCTGACTACAGGAATGTATGCAATATTTAGTACACCCACCTGAAGTGGATGTGAATGTTTATGGAGCCTCTACTCCTGAATACTGGAGAGGAAACAGAAAATGTAAGGGAGGGAAAATCTACAGTAACACAATACCAAGGCTGCCTAAGTCCAGGAAGAGAAAACAGAATTAATGGAATAATGGAATTAGTAATTGGACAATGCTGCACATCATGGATGTTTTATGCTACTGCTTTTCCAGACTAATCTTGAACAGTCTGATGGATGTGCTTACTTTGATGAGCACATAAATTGAGAGGAGATAGGCCACTGCAAATATCAGAAAAAAAGCAAGAAGCTGAGGTGTGGTGAGGGAGGGCAGTTAAAGGTATTAAGGAATATAAAGGTTGGCCCAGGCTTTCCCAAAGTGCTGAGCAGATTGGCTGCACAATGCCCATCCTGCAGTGGGGCCTGGAAAAATGTGAAGGGAGAAGGTGATGGCACAGCAAATGAGGGAATGCAGTGTGTCCCTCTCCTATGGAGACTAATTCAGGTTAGGATCAAACCTGTAAGGGGATACCCTGACTGGTACCTTTATTATCCTGACCAAGGCTGTAAAAACCTCTCTCTCTTCTGTGTAAATAGACTCTTACCACATCAGAGCTTTCCTCTGCAGTTGAATGGTATTATCATATTCCTGTTAGGATTTATGGGTTGAAGTAAGAACTGTGGACAAGGCACTGCAGAAATTTGTCAGGAAACTATTGGGTAATAGGTTCGGTATCAGGCTTTTAAAAAATGTCTCCATGAGCTGAGTACTGAACATCTCACTTGAAGTTTAGGGATTTTAACCCAAAGACTGTGTCTAACCTGCTTATGCATTGTTGAAAATCTGAGTGTGACCTCCACAGGACTTTGTGCTCCTGTGTACCTCTCAGTGAAAATAACCTTTTTCTGGTCTCAGCCCCTTTTTTCCTTCTGTAAAATGGTGACAGTGGATATTCCTCTCCTTGGAGAGGAATGTGGAGGCTGGATACAGGGCCATGACTCTAGGACTCTGTAACTTTAAGGTTACAGATGTTCTGAGGATAAACAGTACCTTGAAGCAGTTGAATGTGTGCTGCTACTAATTAGTCCCTGCAATCTGGAATGTGCTGGAGCAGACAAAAGCCTGGGAACAGTCAAAGGATGCTGTTCTCCTAAGGTCCCTCCCAGCCAGTAGATTCTGTAGCACAAGCAAACAGGCTCCCAAATAGAAGTTCCATGGTGATGTCTGAATGGGGAGCTGTGTCCACTGGAGCTCCTCTGGAGGCTGGGAACAAGGGATGGGATTGAAAGCAGCTCACAAAGGGCTTTGCTGCCAGCACAAAGCAGGTGCAGCAGCTGATCACTTGTGCCCAGCACATGCCACCAAGCAGGCACAAATCTTCACTAATGCTCTCTGGAGTTCTGCCTACTCCTAAGAGGATATTTAAAAATTGGAATGATAATGACTTGAGCAAACATGACTCTACGGCAGAAAATAAAATTGTGAGCATTCACTATCAAAGGCAAAGAAGTGTTGGAGAACAGGAATGCCTGATCATGCAATGCTTTTCATCCTGCAACTGAGCACAGAAAACCTTTTCATATGCCCTAAATCTGCAGCTACAATAAAGCCTTCATACAGACAATCTGCTTAAACAGAACGTCACGCTTGCCTTTATTTTATTTTAATTGCAAAATATTATCCAGTTTCACTGCTAAAATATGCACTTCTTAAGGCAATATGCGTAGCTTTATTTTATCCTCCATTTTGCTTGACGTCATCTCTGCAGTGATGAAATTATAAGCTCTTGAAGTGGACCATCTATGACGCAGCCGTTTCCCTTTCTTGTGGGAGAACACCCTCACCTCACTGTCTTCCTAACAAGATTTATATAATTAAAAAAATCCCACTTTGCTCCAAATCTTCTGACCAGAAGAGTTGGCATCCCTGTCTCTTCATTGCTTAAACATGTAAGCCTGTACCATCAAAACAAGTAGGAACTTTGCCACTGTCTTTGAGGCAAGACTGAGCCCTGGAATCCCAGATATTTGAGATTATTATTGGTATTAACCTAATATTTAACCCCAAGCAATTGCAGTGACTAATTCTTAGGGCCTTTACTTGAAAGTCTTGCAGGAACTTACAAGTGAGGGTCAGCATGATCATCTCATTTCCATGGTGGGAAAACCAAGGCACTGTGGAAAGTAAAAGGACACTCCTATTGCTGGGAAGAGAACTGGGATCTTCTGAATCAGCTCAGGGCCTACTGAATTGCCCTAGTCTGAGGCTATTCCCAGTGAATGGAATTAAATATGCATCAGTGATGGCACTGCCTTGGAATCTGTCCAGTGATGGTTTGGTTATTCTCCAGACTGTACTGAGGTGTTGTGGCATTTTCACCTCTTCATGATAAAAGCAACAGGTCAAATGCTGGATTTTGAAATCTGGAACTTTGCAGCATCAAAGGAAAAGACATTAAAAAGAAAAAAAAAAAAAAGGCTATCATATTAGCCTCCCCTTTTCCTCTTTCACCAGTAATTTTATCACAAATTGTAGGAATTAGTCTTGCAGTTTCAAAGCTGCACATCCACGTGAACTGATTGGTGCAGCCTGTATTTGCAGATGTAACAGAGCTGGGAGTAACTGCTATTCTTCACTAGCAGTGGAGACATACTGGAAATTGAGAAAATTCTGAGTCTGCATTGTATTTCCTGATAAATTCCAATTTCCCTGCCACTATGATAGAAAGCAAGCTGAGATTTGATGAATGAAATTGAGACTCGCTGTGAAACAGAGCAACAGCTTTGAAGAGGTGCCAGATTTCAGCAAAGGTGAATAAAAAAGAAGTAGACATTTCTGAATAAGCTGCCTTTCCTCTCTTCAAAAACAAATCACCTTCTTGTAAATTATCTTCTCAGGTGAGAATCCATCCTTCACAGAACAGGAGACAGGCTGTGCAACAGAGCCAGTTGATAGATGTTAAAAGACAAACCACCAAAAGTCAAACGTGTCTTTGGAAAACAGTATTAAGTAATATTTTAAAGAATGGCTACACATCATATTCACACAAATGCCAATAGGAAGCACAGCTCAGGAAAAGAAAAGCTTTCAGATAATCTCTACCCATTATGAAGGCAAAACCTCAACATCACTAACACATCTTAACTCATTTTCAGCCGTCGCCCTGCTCACATTTGATGCTGTACCGTGTATATATTTCATACTTCAGCACAAATTTTATCAAGAGGTTTATTCACTGAAATGTGCAAAATCCATAAAAAAAACCCTCACTACATTAATATTTCATATCTCACATACTTATCATATCCAGGGGACAGTGGTCTAAAGTGGGAATTCTCAAAAATGCTCTGTGTTGGTGACATAGGGCTGCTGGTGCCAGTAGTAAAATGTTGAGTATCACTGTGCATCGAGTGATGCGAGTGTTTCTGCAGGCTTGTGTCTCTAACTAGACCAGAATTTAAGTCATTTTGGTAAGAATTGCAAACTGTGGTCATAGACCCCATGGAGCCTTTCTCATCTAGGTCCTCCAGCTGAAGTCTCCTGCCCACAGCCACCAGCAGTGCTGGTTGCAGTGTAACCAAGTTGGAAAAAAAGACACTACATTGTGGCAACATATAAATGTGATTTTGTACAGTACTTGTAAGAAAAAAATTCTGAGGGAAGAAAATATTTTCTTCTCTCCTGTCTACCTTGAAAAAAGGACTCTCAGCCTTGTTGTAAAACATGTCCTTATATGGATAGTTTTCTTAAGAAAGCCCAACAACACCTGAAGTTGATATCTATCAGCTGTGTTTGGGTCCTAGCAAGGAACACCTGGCTCTGAAACATTAGCAGCAGGTGCCACTAATTGAGTACTTACTGGCTAAACACCTGCCAAAAAAAAAAAAAAAAAAAAGACAAAAAAAAAAAAAGGAGTGTGTGTGGTGAAGAAGAAAGAAACTAATTAGTGCAGTTTGGTGGGGGAGAAGTGAAATTTCACAAAGGAGATTAACAAATATGCATAGTCAGCTTTACTAACACGGATCTTTTCAGTGTAAGTGGTGGTTTCTCTCTCTGACAGGGCTTGGGCTGAAGAGGAGGATTGCTCTTGAAATAACTCTGTAAAATGCAATGACAGTGTGGAAGCCCACCTGGATGGGGCTGGATATTTAGCTGATGTACCACTCAAGTCCTCATTTTCACAGAACTTGTGAGGAATTTTAGCTGCAGGAAATGCAGGAGTTGAGCTTTAGTTTCTTTATCTCAAGTGTGCTGCTGCACAGCTCTAGGAGTCAGAGGGGGACAAGGGCTCATTTGTGGAGCTGGGAGTCTCGGTGGGCACATCCAGGCATGTTCGCCTCCAGTTCACTATACCTAAATACACCTGTCTCTAGTTCTGTCTGTAATCATGAAGATGCTTCTCAGCTGGTGAGCTCAGGTGTGCTGGTGCTGGGGTGGAGCAGGCCTGAACATAAGGCAGAATTTAGTCAGTTTTTGTGCTGAGGAGATGCAGACCATAACAAAACCTTCAGGGATAACACTTTTTAACCTTTTCCTCCATATTCCAGGATACTGCCTCAATGAAGCTGGACCTGCCTTAGTGAGAAATCTTTCTGTGGGGAAGGTGGGGGGCCATGGCTGAGGTTCTGGTGTGGGTGGGTGCCAGTTGTTTTTTGGGGCCTCAAGGAAATGGATGGGAAGGCAGAGTTGCTGCCCCAGCAGCTCCAGATCAAAACAGATTGAGACATGACAAAATATAAGGGCAAGGTATTTTATGGCCAAGAGAAGTGTCTGAGATTATTTATACTTAAAATTAGAGAGGGGCAAGTTGAGATTAGAGTGTGTGCAGGCCTTCAGAGCAACCACAAACATGTTTCTCCCTTCTAAGGCTCATTATCCTAATATAGGGAGCTCCTGGAGATAACACTGTGCTGGGCATACAGTAGAGCCTGTGCTCCAGGCACAGGGAGTAAGTGTTGAGGCAAGAAATGACTTTTTCCTGGCATCACCTACTAAGATTGAACTGGAATGGCAATTAGAAGTTGAAGTGCTCATTTAATGTCAGTGATGTGTAAACTACGTTGCCATTGTTATTTTAGTGCTGATTTACATAATTGGCATACCCTGAAGTCACACTCCACGAACCTTCAGTTCATGCTAAAGACTTGCAGGAAGTCATAAAATTAAACATTATCTGTGCTGGAATGCAAGGGAAAAGAACTCAGCTTTTGAGGGATTTCACCTTGCTTGTGTCCCCTCTCCCACTGTGTGTGCACGGCAGCGAGTGAAAATCAGGTTAGCGTTTGGAGCTGTTGGCATGAAGGAGCTTTAGCAGCTCTTTAATTATGCTGGTGCAGTTCTGGGGGGTTTGTTTTGCTGGTATGTACTTCCCTGGGTGAACTCCTCATCCTGCAGGGATGTTTCATGGGAATGGCTAGAATTGTGATAGAGAAGCCAAGGGAAGAGGGTCCACAGGAGGAATTATTCCAGCCCAAATGGGCTGAATTCCTGTCTCAAATTGGTGTTCTTCCTACACTAAGAAGTTGTAAGATGGAGGGAAAAGGCCGCTCCCAAAGGAGGAGCTGGTAATGGAGCTGTCTCAGTTGTTATTGCTTTTAAGTCCTCCTCCGCAGTAATTCAAGGTGTCACAGGCTGGCTGTGTCTTTTGCAAATGAAGCCCCTGAGAGATATTGGGAAGAGGAGGTGGAGCACAGAGCACTTGCCTTGCCAGGAAGGGACCCCGGCTAATGATGGTGTGCTGATGGCTTTGGCTTTGATGAGGACCCTAAATTGCTAGGTATCGCATACCTATGCAAGGGCCAGGCCCTACCGCAGAGCCCAGCAGACAAACAAGAGATGGGGCAAAAGACGCAGTCCTGCTCGCGAGTTACTCGTTGTATCAGGAGATTTGCCAGCGTCAGGAAGGGATCGAGGGATGCAGCTGGGATTGGGAGCACAATCATTCTGGGCATGGACCCGCTTTCTCCACCCGTGTCACCGCTGTCCTGTTCCATGGTCTATGCCACGAGCAGTTGAGGCTGCAGCCCGGGGAGCACTGGCGTGGGCATGGGTGGGCCCCGATCCCGCGGGGAGCGCGGCTCAGCCCCGGGGCAGGTGCGGGGCCGCGGACGGGCTGTTCGCGCCGGGGCCGCCGTTCCGGGCCGGGCGATCCGCCGCCGTTCCACCACTGGAGGGCAGCCACATCTTAAAAAAACCCACCCAGCCCAACCCCTCCGCCGCCCGCACGGGGCTGAAGCCGCATCGGATGCGCCGGGGCAGCGCTGCGGGAGGAGACGTCTCCCGAGTTTGGGTACTTCTCTTTCGGAGAGGAGAGCGAGGAAACCCCCTTATTTCCAGCCCTTGCCCCAGGCTCGTGCAGCGACCTCCACGCTCTGGTGGGGGAGAGAAAAATAAATAAGTACATATACGTATTTTTAAAGTAGTTCTAAAGCGCCGGGATTCTCCCGGTACCTTACGTGACCTTCGCACTTTACCACCCCGGCAGTCCGGGCCACGGCGTTAATCCGATTTGCGGCGGCGGAGCGCTCGGGCTGTACAATGGGTCATTGTTCGACCCGGCCCGGTCCCGCTCCGCCGCTGCCGCCCGGAGCGGGACTCGGGACCGGGCGGGCCGGGGGTCTTCCCGCATCGGATCAGCCGCCGGTACAACAGTTTAACGGGACAGCCGCCCGCCCCATCCCTCGCCGCGGCGACACTGCGACCTGGGCGCGGGCGGCAGCCGCGGCGAGGGAGGGAGCGCGCGAGGGAGGAGGGAGGGAAGGAGCGAGGGAGGGAGGCGGCGTCTCCTTTAAAAGCCGTGCGGGGCCGCAGCCCGCTCCCACAGGGCGGCTGTGATTGGCGCGGGCCCCCGAGCCTCCGGGGTCGTGACATCGCCGCGCAACAAAAAGCCCCGGCAGCAGCGGCGGGCGGCCACCCCCGGCCATGGTGCGGTGCGGGGCCGGCGGGGAGCCCGGCGCGGTGCCCTAGCGCGGCCGCTCCACGCGGGACGGCGGGCGGCTCCCCACCCCCTTTTTTTTTTTTTTTTTTTTTTTTTTTGTTTTATTTACCCTCCTCCCTCCTTTTTCCTTTCTTTTTTAAGGGAGCAGAGACAAGTCAAGCTTCATCTTGATGTTGCTGCGGGAGTGTCGGTAAATGTCCATCTGTCTGATGAGCGTGATGCAAAGGACATTTTTGAAAAGGAGCCTTTTAACTCCGTAGACACGTAGGGACCCATTCACGGACAGGCACACACACGCGAGGAGGAGGAAGAAGAAGAAACTTCACGATCGCTGCTTTTAAAAGGGAGAAGCTTTTTCCCTGGCTGGGACTTGCCTTCTGCCTCCTCAACCAGCTGCTAAAAGTATGTTTCCGAGGCGGACTGCACTTCAGGGAACTTCTATTTTCTGCTCGGCAGCTGTAGAGGAGCAGCAGCGAAGTTTGGAGTAACACCAAGTGATGCGGGAAAAACACCCCGAGAGCAGAACACCCTCCTGCAGACACAACCCCTGCTGCTGCACACAGGTATAGCTCCGGCGGTCGCAGATCCGCTGAAAGCCTTCTCCGCAGGATGACTCCGTGGGCCACGGCGGAGGTGCTAGCGCACTGGAAGAGAGAGGGGGGACGGGACACTAATCATAACTATTATTACTATCATAATAATCCAGCCCAAAGTTTCACGGGGGAGAATGTCACCCTGTGGGTTTGGCTAAGGACGTAGCAGGATATGTACTTTCCTCCTTCCCCTTCTTCCACTCCGCTAAGGCAGAACCCCTCTCCTTTTCCCTCGCTGAGGGAAGCCGCTGCACCGTCGCGGGGGGGCTCGGTCCCGAGCCCCCGCGGCTCGGCTCAGCGGGGTGTGTGGGGGGAAGCCCGGGGGTCGGGACGGGAGCGCAGGGGGGAGCTGGCTTTGCTGGGCAGCCGCCCCTTCCCCTGCCGGTGAGCGGTGCCGGCCGTGGCGGCGGGAGGCCCGACCCGGCGCACACCTGCGCCCCGGCCCGGCGGTGCCCCCGGCCGCGTCCCCTCCTCCCCTTCACCTCCGCGCTCCTTTGTTGCGGAGCGCCCCACTCCGCTCCCCCGTCCCGCCTCGCTCCCTTTGATCTCCTGCCACGGGGATTTCGGTGCCGCCGCGCACCTGAAGCGGCCCCTCGCGGGGCTCCGCCGGCCGGTCCGCGGCAGGGGCTCCGCCGGCCATGGTCCGGCGCCCGAGTGGGTCCCACCTACGGACCGTCCCCGCCCGTACCCTCCCTCCCCCGGCGCGGTGTCCGCGCTGACTGGCTCCCATCGCCTCCTCCTCCTCCGCGCAGGTTGATCATGGTTGCCGTGACCCGCTCGCTCCTGGCGCTGCTGCTCTGCCAGGCGCTGCTGGGCGGCGCGGCCGGGCTCATGCCGGAGGTGGGTCGGCGGCGCTTCAGCGAGCCGGGCCGCGCCGCCTCGGCCGCGCAGCGCCCCGAGGACCTGCTCAGCGAGTTCGAGCTGCGCCTGCTCCACATGTTCGGGCTGAAGCGGCGGCCCAGCCCCGGCAAGGACGTCGTCATCCCGCCCTACATGCTGGACCTCTACCGCCTGCACGCGGGGCAGCAGCTGGGGCAGCCGGCGGCGCTGGGCTTCCCGCTGGAGCGGGCGGCCAGCCGCGCCAACACCGTCCGCAGCTTCCACCACGAAGGTACCGGCGGGCGGGGGCTCCGCGGGCTGCGGGAGCGGAGGGGAGGGCCGGGCCGGAGGAGGAGCGGGGGGCGGATTCCTCCCGCCGGCACCGCGGGGTTCGCACAGTGCATCTCCCGGTCGGGTGCGTTGCCCGACGAGCTCTGTTGCGGAGCTCTTGCTCTGCCAACTCTCTTCTCCCCAGTCTCCGTCCGTCGGGGCGCTCCCGGGACTTTTCCCGCTAGACCAGCGCGACTCCGCGTTAAGCGTTCCCGCAGGTCACTGCTCTCCTGCGAGGCTAGAAAGCAGGGAAGGCTCCCTAATGCGTGGCTGAGCCCGGGCGCTGCGGAGGTTTCTAATCCCTGTCTAATCCCCGTGAGAGATAAGTGAAACAATCAGTCGCGACATCCTCGGGAGCTGCCGTCGAGGATCGCTACAGCCAGAGCCTCCCGGGCTCACAGTGCCCAGGCTAACCAAAGCCCCGTGGCCGCGCTTGGCTCTCACCTGCGAGGCCTCCAGCAGCGCTTCTGTGGCAGCTCCCTGCCTGCAGCCCCCCGAGGCAGCGATTCTCTGGGACAGACCCTCGCTCAGCAGTCGGGGGCGTTTCCTGGCTGCCGCGGCTGTGACATTAACCGGGCCCGCGGAGCTGGTGGGGCGCGTGTCGCTCACGTGCTTTTTTGGGAAGCGTTTCCCCAGGTTGTAATTGCTCCTGGCTGCGGCTCTTCGGTGCTGCCATGCAGTGGCTCCGCTGCAAAAGTAATGAAAACGCATTTCCCCTCTGCTTTTAGAGCAAAATTATGTCAAGAAAAGATAAAAATTAGTTTTTAAGTTTCTAAAAGGAGGCGGCCTCTGAGAAGTGGATGTGCTGTTTAGTGGAAAGCCTTAGGGCGAGGAAGGTGGATGGTGAAATCTAACCTCTCCTCATCCACCTTTTCCTACATGGGAAGTAAAAACCTGGCAGTTAATGGGGAAAAGCCAGCACGTGGATCATTCATGTTAAACCCAAGGATTGTGGGCAAGGGGCTGAGTGAGAGAGGAGTTGAAAGGGCAAAGTTGATAAGATTTAGGCAAATGTAAAAATCTGCAGTTTGAAGTAGTCCTATGATTACAGCAAAAGCTGATTTTGTTAGAAAATTAGTGTTAAAATTCTTTAAAATGTTAAAAATTCAGAAGAAAATCAGTGTGACTCCCATTTTTTCACTGATTTATCACTGCTTTTGTGATTTCTTGGGAGCAGAAGTTTGTCTTGTGGCTATTCAAAAATATCTGCATATTAGCAAATACTGGTCTGGTCCTGAAATACCATAAGGCTGAGATTTACCTTACGCAAAAATTTGTACTGGATTCAAAGGGGAATGGTTACACGACTAAGAATTGCTAATAGCAGTTATGGCTCCCCCTTAGAAAGTGGTTCCCCCCCTTCAGTATGTTTACCAGCAAAGGTAAAAACTATGAGAGGGTTTTATTTTGGAAAATACTTTTAACTTCTTGATGACTGTAGCAACAATGTACTTGGCAACCCTAGGTATATTGTACTCCTTCTGAAGCTCCATTCTGTTGTTACTCAAAGGTGGGAATGCCCTGGAGTTTACTGACTCCTTGAAAGTTTGGTTTTGGTGGTTTTACAAACTTCTTGTTAGGAGGTGACTTTGCTTCATTGTTTTTTTTTCCATCCACCCTTTTTTCAGCAGTTGAATCTTCCTGCTGCTCTTTATGGCCCTTTTGGGTAAATACTCTGGGGTGTGCTTCATAAAGTACCGCTATGCATGCCGAGTTCACTGTCTCTAATTAAACACACAAAAATCCATTAAGATTTTTAGGTCACCTAAATTGCAGAGTAATGTTTTTCAGAATGGAGTTTAAGGGATTAATGCTAGAGCTGTATTCTTAGAAAAAATCAGAAATGCAACAGTCACCTAAAGTCCTCCACAAGTTTTAATAATTCCCCAGTGCTTGAGTTTTTCATTCATGTCCTTGAAGTCCAAATTTATGCTGTATAGTTCTGCCTGCTAATGATAGCTATCTGGAAGGCAAAGGCCACCAGGATCCAATCCAAATGTGTAACAATGAATGAAGCATTTTTAATTTCATGCTATACATGCTTGCACAAACAAACTAACAAGGGACACAGTATTTTCTGCCTAAAAGTCTTTCAGGTCTTGTATATCACATGTGGTAGCTGTCATTTGAAAGCTGCAGTCTTAAGGGGTTTGATTGTTTGTCTCAGCTTCTGATTTTTTTTCTTTCTTATCTTTTTTTATTTTCCCTGTTTAATCAAATTAGAAGTTTTGGAAGAACTGCCAGAAATGAGTGGGAAAACAGCACGGCGTTTCTTCTTTAATTTAACTTCCATCCCTCATGAGGAGTCTATCACCTCAGCTGAACTCCAGATTTTTCGGAAACAGGTGCACGGAGCCTTTGAGAACAACAGCAGCTACCATCACCGTATTAATATTTATGAAATTATAAAGCCAGCCACAGCCACCTCTAAGGACCCTGTCACAAGACTTTTGGACACCAGGTTGGTGCATCATAATGCAAGTAAATGGGAAAGTTTTGATGTAACGCCAGCTGTTTTGAGGTGGATTGCACATGGACAACCTAATCATGGGTTTGTGGTAGAGGTGGTTCACTTGGACAAAGAGAACAGTGCCTCCAAGAGGCACGTTAGGATTAGCAGGTCTTTACATCAGGATGAAGATAGCTGGTCTCAGCTCAGGCCATTGTTAGTGACGTTTGGGCATGATGGCAAGGGACACCCGCTCCATAAAAGAGAAAAGCGTCAAGCGAAACACAAACAGCGTAAACGCCACAAATACAGTTGCAAAAGGCATCCGCTATATGTGGACTTCAATGATGTGGGGTGGAATGACTGGATTGTTGCCCCGCCGGGGTATAGTGCCTTTTACTGCCATGGGGAATGTCCTTTTCCACTGGCAGATCATCTAAACTCAACAAACCATGCCATTGTTCAGACTTTGGTCAATTCAGTGAATTCCAAAATCCCCAAGGCTTGCTGTGTGCCGACAGAACTGAGTGCTATTTCCATGCTCTACCTTGATGAAAATGAAAAAGTTGTATTAAAGAACTATCAAGATATGGTTGTGGAGGGTTGTGGGTGCCGCTAACACAGCAAATATATTAGACAAATGCAAAAAAAAAAAAATAGCTGACACTTTAATATTTCCCAATGAAGACTTTATTTATGTAATGAAATTGAAAGAAAAAAAAACACAACTATTTTGAAAATATATTTATGTCTACGAAAAAGTTGGGAAAACAAATATTTTAATCAGAGAAATATTCCTTTAAAGATTTTAAATGTATTTTAGTTGTACATTTTATATGGGTTTAACCCCCAGCACATGAAGTATAATGGTCAGATTCTTATTTTGTATTTATTTACTATTATAACCACTTTTTAGAAGAATAGCTAATTTGTATTTATATGTAATCAAAAAAGAAAAAAATATAGGGTTTGTACATAATTTTCCAAAATTGTAGCTGTTTCAATTGTGTGTATTTAAGTTGAAAAGAATACATGGAAGGTTACTATGGCAAAGTGCATAGCACATTTGCTTTCTGCTGTGCTACTGTTAAGGTCACAAGTTCAAGTCCAGAAAAAAGTGGATAATCCACTCTGCTGACTTTCAAGATTATATTGTACAATTCTCAGGAATGCTGCAGGGTGGGCTGTCCAATCCATGAGAACTGGCATCCTCTTTAGGTGGAACATTTGGCTAAGAACCAGAAGTTGCTGATCTAGTATAAATACTGCTATTCCCAACTAATTTGCAGTGTGAATATAAGGGCCAAGAGAAATCCTATGGGAGCTGGGGGTGGGGGAAGACTGAATCCTTTCTAGATCTACAGAAAAGTGAATGTTTGATGTTTCCTTTAAAAGTCCTTCCTTTAAAAGTCCTGGCCAAATATAAAATAATAAAAACGAAAATGTCATCCTTTTTTTTTTGTGATTATCTATGCTAAAGAGGAATACCTACCTAAATTGTACCGGCCCTTGTCTTTAACAGTTGGAAAAGCCTTGTATACTTCCTCACCTCAGATGAGAGCTCACTTCTGTGGAGTGTTACATTGAAATTAATCTGCAATTTTTGCCCTACATGCAGCAAGCTGTTGTCATATGCAGCCTTCTCTCTAACCTCAGCTGATGGTTTTGCTGTTTGGCAGATTAGCCTCTCTTCATTTCCAGGGTTTTGTGTTGGAAAGTTTTTTTTTTCCCTTCCCAAATGTTTAAATCAATTTCAGATAATAAACCATAGAATTCTGATATTTCTTTCTGAGAAGTCCAGTCTGTAAGAAAAAATGGTTCACTTGTGCAGTCATCACAACTTGTGCTTGCATCATCTTACTGGTTTTTAAACCCTTCATGTAAGGGGCAAACTGTGATTTGCAGTAGGCAAACAGCATAAAAACTGATCATGATTGTGCCTGTTTCGTGTTCCACACCTGGTGTGGCAGGCAGAGCCTGGGGGTGTTGTGTGAAGGTTGTGCTGAAACAGGAGAGCAGGAAAGGAGCTTAAATGGGCTTCTTGGTCATCCTCTCAAGCTCTGTTGTGGGTCCAGTTCTGGATTTGGTGAACTGTGGCTACACTTCCTGAAGCCATGTGTGCATTGGGCCCTCTTGGGATCTTGCTAAGTCAGCTGTGGGAATCTCTGATTTGGGCCTCCTGATGTTTTGTTAATGAACCCCTCTTTTTTTGTCCTGGC